AAAGGTTTTTAGTTTTGCAATAAATTACTTATACAATAATTGATAAAGCTCATTGAAATTCCGTGATCAAATCTTGCAACTATTTAGTTCAAGCTGTTGAAAATAAAATATGTTAGGGATCATGGCCAAAAGGACCAAAAAGATGGATAGAATCATAGAATCACTTGTTTGCATTGTCATAGTATATATTTTTTTTTTATTTTATTTAAATTGCGAAGGGAAATATCATAATAATTATGTTTGACCCAAAAGGCCAAGAAACTTGACTTATTTTTCGTCCTTTAGCAGTGCATTATTGCTGAGGTTAAACGATGGACGTGCAACACTTCACCAAAGTGAAACAAAAAGTAATATAAAATGCCAAGTGATTTCCTTATACTTTCTACTAGTAATTTTAATATAAAATGCCAAGCGGTGTAAGTGAGACGAGTTTGAGTGTTAATGAGCCGAACTAAAAGAAGTTACATATAAAAATATTTCTATGCCTATTTTAAATGTTAATGAGTCGAGCTTATGAATGATTCTTTTCGGCTAGAGCTCCTAATATTCGAGTTCAGGTTCGAGCCTTAAGTAAGTTCGAGTTCAGCTTGATTATTAGTATTAAAGAGTCTATCTCAAATCATAACGAGTCGAGCTATAAATAAATTAAATATAAAATATTATTTCCAAACTCTAGCAAGTCGAGTTCGAAACTTTACTAAACGAACTCACGAGCAACTCCTTTCGTTTCACAACTATACATCATAATAAAAATTAAAAACACAAAATATGGTGGCCTTTTATGAAAGGGTAGGTATGGTAAAAAAGAAAAAAAGAAAAAGAGAGAAAGAGAGAGAAAATAATGCACGCACGATATTGATCTAATATGATTGGAATTTCGGAAATTACGAATTTAAAGGCCTACATGGTCTATTTTGTATTTTGATGCTGATAAATTGTCCACAATCTCATAGTCAAATATAAAGTTAACTATATTTGTCATTATGTTTTAATCATAACTATTTTATATAGATTTTCTCACAAGAAATGCGAGAGCCTTTTTCCATTAATTCAACGGAAGTCATATTTTCCAGATCAAACTCATGTCCATATTCGTTACTAGAAAAAACAAATTAAATCAATTAGGTAGAGTAGAATGTCAAGGTAATTAGGTAACTATCTAAATCTAACAAGAATTATTGAAATTTCACTTTGATCCAAAATGGTGGGTGAAACTTTTGGTCAAGTAACAGTCTATAGCCAATTATTTTAAAATAATAATATAAAATAGTGAGCTAATGTAAACAAAAAAAAAAAAATATAAGAATTTCTTAGTTGACAAAAAAATAAAAAAATAGAACTTCGTAGTTGAGGAGGTGCCAACCTTTTTTATCTTTCTCATTGATAAAAAAAATACGAGCCAAAAAAATTGGAATTATTATTATTATCTTGTTATTATTATTATTGTTATTATTAAGTCAATCTGCAGCATGAACAAATTATCAAGTATTGTATTATAAATATATATCATCCATTAGTTATCACTTATATGACAATATCTTAAAAAATGTAGCAATTGTTTTTTGTGGAATAAATTTGTAAACTCATACTTTCTAGAATATATGGGCCCAAATATATTGGGTCTTGAGTCAAATAAAAATAAAATCTAGTGTGTGAAATATGAGGACCATACATAATTCTATTTTTATCTCTACAATGTTACTTTTAATATTACACAGTATTACCATTACACAAATGCTCTATGATTAAAAATGCCAAAAATCGCATTAGTTATATCGTTACACATAATTAAAAATTGCGTTAAGTGGATAATACTAATTCTTGTTTAAATCACTTTCCTATGTGACAGTCTCCAGAAATTTAGAGGCTCTAGACAATTTTTTCTTTTTCGAATTTCTTAAATTGAACTTGCGTGATAATTAGGTTATTTGCAGATAGAATTATAGAAGAAAAAAACCTAATTAAAAAAGACTACTAAATGAATAAATAAATAGTTGAAAAATTTATTTTTTCTTGTTTTTCTAAACCTTGGAATTGATAAATTACATATGAGTTACAAAGATTTTTAATAATTTATATTCAAACAGTAATGAGAATAACAAGGAGAAGAAAATAAAAACCATATCACTGCAAAGAATATTTATTCTCACACAATTGTTCTAACCGAACATCATAATAAAACAAATGAAATATTTAGAGCCTCAAATTTTTACACAAAATATATATTTTGCCATTAGCCAATTCATTAATTAGCCCTTTCATTTGTATAATAAGTCAATTCTATAATTACCCATGAGTTACTTCGTATGTGCAAATAGGCCAAACAAATTATAAATACATAATATTAAAAAAAAAATGGGATCTCAAATATATGAGGAGGCCTTAGGCATGGCCTAGCTGCGTCCCCACGGAGCCGGCCATGCTAAGTGTATAATATGGACCATGAGATGTGGAACAATTTATTTAAAACCTCATTTTTTTATTTTTCTTTCGTTTTTTATGATGGAGGGCCATTTGTTGAGG